GGGGAATCTTGGCCAAAACGTTACTTTCTCCAAGATGACTAGGATGACTTTCCGAGGGAACTGCATTAATGCTTAGCCCCGGAAGCAATGGGTGGGTATGTACTACGCTACGCCTGGGAATAAGTGCAATCCACCCATAGTCCATCATGAACAGAATGACTCGGACAACTCAGGCTTGATCAGATCTGCCAGGCACTGTTTGGATGCATTGCTTTGTCCTTTGTGAGGACAGTGCTTACCTTTGAACCTTTTCAAAGCGCTTGCTGCTGTTCAGGACATGGTGACACGCTGCTGGCGCTGCTCAGGGGGCAGGGGAAGCAGCTATCTTTGCTGTCTCCTTCTTCATGCAGCTTGTCCTTGAGTGACACCTTAGGAACTGGCCCATTCGACTGGAAACTAACGACATGACTGAATACTTCTCAGGAGGACATTACAGAATGACAGTCAGATCCAAATGTATGTGAAATAAATAGGTGGACTGCAGGAGCCCAAAGCCGCAGTCAAACAAGAGTCCCTCCAGAGGGACTGAATTCTGCTGAATTCTGGAGGTACTTGGGGGGACTGACCCCTTCCAGCCTTCGAGTCTGTCAGGCACTTGAAATCTGTGCGTGTCCTGACCTTCCCTTACCGAAGCAGTTCAGTGCCTCACTCCTGCTCAAGTCTCACCAGGGAATCTGCTGCTCCACAGCTGCCAAACCTAGCAGGTATGAATTGCCTGAAAAAGCTTCACACGCTGACAGTCCTGTTGTCACAAAATATATAGGGACACTGAACAGAAGGCAACACTGATCGTTAACACCCAGTCCACCACCACTAGAGACAACCAGAACATGAGCAGCCATTCAGGGCATAAAGGACTGAAGTCATAAAAGCTTTCCCATTGCTAACCAACGTGCTACAATTGGGAAGAGATAGCATTCGAGGGTCACACCAATGAATTTCAGGCCTACAAGAAGAACCATCACTTTACATGGAATTCACGGGTGATTTGGATGGCTGCTCCTTCCAGGTCTGCCTTTCTCACTGGCCACTTTGTCCCAGTGGTCACTACGGGCTCGGGAAGTCTAACTCCCTACTAACACCCCGGCGTGCCAGGCAGCTCTTGCTGCACAGCCATAATCGCCTGCTTCAAAGCCTGTATCAGATCTCATTGCCGAGGACCAGACTCACCCAGCCTTGCCACTGCCTCAGCTCAGCACTGGACTCGTCGCACAGGACTCTTCATTCAGAGCAGTAATAGCAGGCTGCAAACACAAAGCCTGAGCAGCACGAAATAGCATCCAGCTGCTCCATAGCTTAAATCCAAACAATGCATCAACAGCTCTTTATTATGTGCTCTTAATTAGGTCCTTACACATTATATCACAGTGTTTATCCTACTATTTATGGTCTTGTCCAGGCACTTCTGCTCTGCTCACACCTCTCAGTATGCATGCAGACACCAGCCATTAGCAGCACTGCTGTGTTCCACTCATGCTATATATTGTTATATGTGAACATCTTCCCCCGCTCAATGTCATGGGTGACTGGTGCAGACCTTAGCCAGCCCTTAAATCTAACTGCTTCCCTACCTGCACTCTATCCAGCCTCTCATTCCTTTAGTAGGACAGCTCCAGTAACTAGAGTATCTCCTCTTCAAACCTGCACAGCATTGCTTCAGTCTCCCATACTACAAAGTAAGGAAAAAGAAATACCAGTCATCCCTATCAAATTAAGGCAAATTTCCTTTCTCATCCCAAATTTAGTGATTAGTTTAGCCTTGAGTGTGAGAGTAAAATACACCAAGGTGGTACTATAAGGGTTTAAGATCTCAAATCCATCAGCTCATCCTAACTCAACCTTATTCAGCCTATCACTGCAGCCTCCCCAGTGCTGCAGGGGAGGGCAGAGAACTGGAAACCAGTTACACATTTTTGGGGGTGGAGTGGACAAAAGAGGCTGAATAGCCTTTTCCTTTACAAACTTTGCCAACGACCACAAGAAATCCTGAAATACAGGATTACTACAACTGAAATAAAATGCAAATTGATGTGAACACACAACAATCTAGTTTCAGTTCATCCTTTTTGGAATACTGAAGGACTTAAAATTTCTCATTCTGGGATCAACCTTTTCCCTAAACTTTTCATCCTCAGTATAGACAATGCATATTCCTTGTCTTCTTTCTTATTTAGAATACCTTTACTCTTCAAATGCTTATATGCCATCTTCTAATTTCCTATTTAAATTGACCATGACCATTTTAGAACTGTTCCACCTTGCACCATGACTTAAATTCCCTCTCCCAACCTATTTATGGAGTCATCACTTCCACTCTCATCCAGTTTTTCTTGCTTTCTTTCCAAACCTTGTTGAGAAAGAGAAATGAAGAAAGCAAAATGCACAGCGTCAAGGAAAGCAAGAGCAGAACCACAGAATTGGGGACCAGTGACAGTGACATTCTCTTGGGAGTGGGCGAGTGAGAATCCAGGCTGCAGGACCTGGGTATCCAGGTCGCCCAGAACTGTTTTTGCATTTTATAATAAACATAGAACAAATAAAAAAAAATGCCTGTACATATGCACCTATTTGTCCAAGTGATTAAGCCTGAGCTCTGGGTTCAGACCACAAGTTTGCATGGCGACCTTACATGCTGTCTAAGCCCATCCAGGTAGCAGGTGACATTCTACTGATATTTCCAGACAGTTTTAACTCAACAAGTGGCAGAGCAGAAAGTTTTTTTGCCTGACTGAATTTAAAGTGAACAATACATCATCAGCAGATTCTTCTGTTTAGGGCCCAAGTTCCAGGTACTTGACCTATCATTACACCTACAGCAATAAATTAACATGCCTGGAATGGTTTTCTGACACTGGAGGTAAGTGAACAGAACAATTCACATGGATATTTCCAAACTATTTAAATGTCCTGAGTGCATATATGCAAACTATCTAGCTGAGATGTTCCCAAGTCCATGTTGATTCTTTAACCATGTCTGGGGCTTACACACAGTAAGGCCAGGCATTAGTGATGTGCCCCGGGTATTGGTACCAGGTCCAATGCTGTTTAACCTCTTCATTAACAACCTGGAAGATCACAGTAGTGCAACTTCGGCAAGTCTATAGACAATACAACACTGGGGGGAGTGGATGATACACCAGAGGTTTGTGCTGCCATTCAGAGGGACCTCGACATGGTAGAGAGGAACCCCATCAAGTTCAAAAGGATATGGCAACTCCTGCACCTGGAGAGGAATAACCACAGGTACCAGCAAGCAACATGAAATGATCACCTGGCTAGAAAGAAGCTTGGCAGAAGAGGCCTTGGCAGTGCTACTGGACACGAACTTGTATGCAAGCAACACCGCCTTGCAGCAAATAAGGTCAACAGCCTTCTGAGCTGCATTAGGAAGAGTGTTGCCAGCAGGATGAGGGAGGCGATTTTCCACTGTGCTCACCACTAATGAGACATCTAGAGTGCTGGGTCCAGTTCTGGGCTTCCCAGTACAAGAGAGACATGGACATAGTAGAGTGAGTCCAGAAAACTGCCATGAAGATGATGAATGGATTGGAGCATCTGACCTACAAAGAGAGACCGAGAACTAGGAGCCAGCCTGGAGAAGAGAAAGTTCAGGGAGATCTCATCAATGTGCATATACTTGATGGGGCAAGGGTGGAAGTAGATAAGACTGAGCCAGTCTTCCCAGTGGTGCCCAAGGAAAGGGCAAGAGGAAATTGGCACAAAGTGAAATACAGGAAATTCCATTTACACATAAAAGGAGAAAAAAAAACCAAAAACCACCAACAAACAAACCTGCAAAGGTAATCAAATACTGGAACAGGTTATCACAGAATCACTAAGGTTGGAAAGGACCTTCAAGATCATCAAGTCCAACCATTAATCCAGCACCATCATGTTCCCTAAACCATGTCCTGAAGCGCCACATCCACACATTTTTTGAACACTTCTGGAGATGGCGACTCTACCACCTCCCTGGCAGCCTGAGAGGCTATAGAGTCTCCGTCCTTGGAGGTATTCAAAACCCAACTAGACATGCTCCTCAGCAACGTGCTCTAGTTGACCCTGCTCTATGCAGTGTGGTTGGAACAGCAGTGTCTCCAGAGGTCCCTTGCAACCTCAGCAATTCTCAGCAATTCTGTTTCTGCAGTTGTGAACAACTTTACACAGCAAAAAAGGCACCACCACCACCAGTACTCAGACCTTGACATCCTATGAAGTTGAAAGCCTGTCTAAAATGTTTTGCACTTCATATGAAACAGTAACAACCAGTGCACCATTTCATCTCTTGTGGAACTAAATTTCCCACTTGAGTCCGATTCCAGGAACTGTTACAGTAGCTATGCCTACAAACCTTCAACTGGGGAGCCACATCTCCATTACCTCAGTGAACCACACCTGTGGTTGAATCTTACCTTTAACTTCAAGAGAAGAAAATGTAGTTCTCTTGCATCCAAAACAATGATTATAATACCTTATATCTGGAAATAACAGAAGAATGACACAGCTTCTCTCAGACTTAGGATGAAGCTAGCAGCTTCGTGCTTTCCTCATATGAACTTACCTATCTAACAAGAATGGGAAGAAGACCGTAAGATACACCAACATTTTGAGCAAAGCTCAACCTGGTGAAGAGACTCTCACCAATACTCATCTAGCTTGTGGGATTAATCTGGTAAGCAGAATTGTCAGTCAAACTCCTAAAAAGCCAAAGGGTTTTACATACTGTAAAGTTAACATTAATCAAGCTGGAATTCAAGAATTTCAGGAGTTATTCAAAACCAAACGTGGCAGTTTATTAAATTTTGGCTTTAGCTGTAGTTATTATATCTAGACCCCAGAGCTGTAGTTCAGGTGTCCATCTTTTAAAATGGAATGATGAAGATCATCAAGTTTATGACTGTATATCAAAGATGGTGAAAATCTAAAGATTTTATGAAAAGATTTATGCAGTAAAAACAAAACTTTTAGAAACCAAGTCCTAAATCAGACTGAGCAGAATTAAATGTGCAGATCATTATTTGACAAGTCATTTGGTGTACTAAATTATCTTGCTGGAAGAACAGGTGAGGAAACACATTTTTTAGTCTTGTTCATTTACTTTGTTTACTTCCATGGAAGTTGGCTCCTAGAAAAAGTTTACAAAATTGATACATTTGATAGAATTTCCACCAGCACTGTATGTGTAGACTATAACCCCAGATGTTACAGAACAATCAGATATTAACATAATTTTTAACATTTATTTTTCCTTTACAAATTAGCATTATAGCGATCTCTGTTCTGAAAGTCTCTATAAGCACGTTTTGCATCTGTTTTACTGTGTGGGATTCTTCCAAAAGGTTCCAGGTCATTGAAGCAGGCATCAAAAACTTCATCCACAGCTTTTTCTGCCGTTTCTTTGCTAACTTTTCTAACAGCCAGGATGGAACGAATTGCTCTGTCGCGTACACAAGTCTAAAGTGGGAATTAGATAAAGAAAAATCTGACATTATTAGTATAAATAATTTTTTCCAGATTTGTCAAGTATTAACTCCTACTACATATGCAATAACTTTGTATCACAGAAGAGTCAAACAATGCCTGTAATAAGCATTAAAGTACATTTTTGTTCCACTCTGTGTTAACTATGTGTTTTAGTTTTCCATGTGCAAATAAATAGTCAGAGAAGTAAAAGACATTCCTCAGAACAGGAATTAAAATACAATTTGTCATTTGCTGTAGATACCAAGTATTTGTACAAGTTTACATGGACACAAGAAAAAATGTCAGAAAGAAACAGAAATAAATACCAGTTAGTACTTGTCCAGATGAAAGGCTACAAAACATAAAGGAATGACTCTTCTACTGGCCTTCATTTTGATACCTCTCTTTACGGGAACTTTTGCTTAGACAGTTTGTCTACTACAAGATAAAAAAAGGTGGAAACATCCCCAGCTACAAGCTAACTGCCATTCTAACATGAGCAACTACTTGGGACCCAACCCGTAGTCTTCATTCGTATATAAAAAAAAAAAAAAATCCTATAAGACTTAACACGGTTATTTAAAATGCTTGTCATCCTCATTCCTTCAGTTTTCAAAGACTTGTTAGTTTTACCCACTTACAGAGGGTCAGGTATTCCCATTACATTTCCTGCAAACCCTGTTTTAATTTGGTTCTTATTAACCATCCACTGTCAGTGGTAATGCTCTATGATATGACTTCACAAATTTTACTCCAACAAAAATAACAAGGTGGGAAAAAAAAAATCTATCATGAATCATTAAAGGTTATTAAAGGTTAATTAAGAGAAAGCAGCAAGACATGGCATCTATTTCCTCCTCTGATATTTCCAGCTACAAAAGTGTAGAAGGTTGAGATAAGTAGGTACAGATGTCTCACAACAAATCAGTAGATTTTAACATGTACAGTCTTTACCTGATGGTGTCCTTTTAATCCAAATTTAAACCTGGTTATTTCATTCATCAGTGTACAGTCTCCACTGAGATTAGCAGCTCGAATCTATCAAGAAAAAAAAAAGCCACAAGATCAGAGAAACACATGGAAAAACAAAGTCAAAAAAGATGTAACAAATTGTTTTCTTCAATATTTTTCATGTGACTATTGGTAGAGAATATTCCCAGGGCCACTTCTACTTTATTAAGTACATATTACCCTTTATATCCACCCTCTCAGCCTCAATGAATGGCAAAGTATTATTATACAATCTGTAAGTTTCTCCAGGGACCAAGTCTCACATATTTCGAAAGTTTAAATGAATGAGCAGAAGAGATCATATGTGTGTGTCTGTGTATATACACACACATATATAAACTGCTGAGAGAACATGGAAAGTAATATTCTCCCCAGTCTATATCAGAAGCTGATACAAGAGGCAGGAGGAAAGGCAGATACTTTTCAAAGACTACTGCTGCAATATCCAGAAGAGCAGTAACCCACCTGCTTTAGGAAAAGCCACATTTAAATGAGTATGTATGTTTTAGCTTGTTAACTGTCTTGTCCTGTGCATTGTAATTTCTTTTGCTGGCCAACTGTTCCACACCCTATCCCCTCAGTTAGGAAATATAACTAAAATTAGATTTCCTATAATTAAGTACCAGAGTGAGAATAAATGCATGGAAAACCTGAAATCTAAGAATTAAAAAGCTGACAATAAAAACTGTCAACGCCATATAATAAGTATCAAAAGACCTGATGCAAACAAATAACCTCAACAACAGCAAGAACAAGCACAATCTTGTTTTATATATGCTCTCTAATTTTATGTTTGAGGCTTACATGCTTTATTCTGCACTGCATAAATTTTTAGACCAAGTAGATGATAGTTAATAGTTCTGAATTACTGTATTAGGATTATATGGCAAGATGTTGGCAGCAGGGGGCCTGCCACGATGGGTTCTGTGAGGCGAGACAAGGGGCTGCCCCCACGAGGGACAGAGCCAGTTTTACTTGGCTCTAAAATGGACCTGCTGCTGGTCAAACCTGAGCCCATCAGCGATGCTGGTGGTACCCTCTATAATGACATATTTAAGAAAGGATAAAAAAATACTACATGGCAGCTGTGAGAGACAGAAGGGAGAAAAACAGGAGACAAACAGCCTCACAGACACCAAGATCAGTGAAGAAGGAGGGGGAGAAGGTGCTCCAGCCACAAGAGCAGAGATTCCCCTGCCACCTGTGGAGAAGACCTGCAGCCTGTGAAGGAGCACAATGGAGCAGATATCCACACTGCAGTGCAAGTACAACCCCACAAAAGGGCAGATGGACATGCCCTGAAAGAAGCTGCAGCCCATGGAAAGCCCATGCAGGAGCAGGTTCTCTGGCAAGTGATTCCACATCCTTATCTTGATCCATAAGCTTTTAAATCTTATTTTTCTTCCCTGTCTTACTGAAGAGGGGTAGTCAGAGAATGGCTCAGTGGGTGCCTGGCAGCCAGGTAAGGTCAACCCCCCCCAATTATACAGAATGGCTTAAGTGGTAAGGTTACTTCATTAAATTTTATCCAGAAAAAGATAAACATAATATGTGACTGTCTTCCACTGCAAATACAAATTTAATTAATGAATTTAATTTTTTATGAAAGTTGATTTGTTCTGTACCAAACTCATAATTTTGCTTCTCTCACATACTACTTATAGGTGAAACCTGTGCACATCTTAAGTCCGGAATCAAATATGGTCTCCTTAAGAAAAGCCAAACAAACAAACCAACCCACAAGCAAAAAAAGCCCCCAAACAAAGCCACTATAACACTTTAATATCATTTTATATTTTTTAAAAAATGTTAAAAAGGCACCTAATTCACGCAGTCACAAGAATGTATTTTCATTCTATTAATCATAGAGGTAAGTTTTTCTGTGGTCAAATGATATGGATTAAATCACAAATCAACTAAAAGCACGTGAATACACACAAACCATGTACACAAGAGGAATCCTTACTGGCCTGTGCTCAGTTTAATTTCACCTCCTAATCCATCAATTTTCAAGGTCTTTCAAGCAGCAAATTCCTAGATCCTCTGAAATGGACATGGAGTCTTAAACTAACGTGTACTATTAGCAACACCACAATTGATCAAAAAAAAATCTGTTATAGGAAAAGACAAGTTTGTTGTTAATATACTACTGTAGTATGTTACCATGCTACTGTGGTAACTACCCAACATACCATGATTTGCAGGGAACAAAAAGCCGCCTATAAACATTTGATTAATGTGTGAACATGTTTTCATCTCTAACTACTCTCATTTGTTAATAACCACTTCTTTTTATGGTTACACTCACAGTGATCACATTCTACTTAATATGACACTGCCTTATTAATATTTGTGAAAACTAAATATTTGTCTTCTGAATGAAACTATTTAGGTTGATCTTACAGAAAGGACAAAATGTATTAACAGGGTTAAACCAAATGAAGTCTGCGTGACTATTTAAACATGAAACATCCCTAATAACCAGCAGTAATTAATATGACAACAACATTAGAAGTATTTTAACTTACCTCTGAACATGCTAAGTGTTTGACATTTTTAAACCAGTCAACATGTGCGCGGCAGTGATCAAAAGCATGAATCAATTCATGTGTGACCACCCGGTTCATATGGGATTGGTGGCGAATGTTGTTCTGACACAGAACAATCTGTAGAACAAAAGATATAGGTAGTCTTTTCACCAAGTTTCAACATCTCCCTTACTTCTCAGAGACCCAGCACACATCACATACAGCATTTAGACCCTTCCAATCAGTGTTCAACATTAAGAGCCTCATCATTCTGCAGTGTACTAGTTCCAATACCATGGAACATCTTTCATTTATCTTGTTTTCATGACTAACTCAGATATCAGCATTACTAGATTTAATCTTAATAACAAAATGTTAAAAAACAACTGTAGTTCTCTGAAAAAGGACAATGTCCAATGCCTACCTGAGATGTGGCAGAATCAAAACCTCCACTGACACAGCCATCACAGTTTTCACATGAAAAGTGCCGGTCATTGAAGACAGTGCTGAAAAGCCCAAAAAACCAAAGTTATAGGGAAGAACTTGAAAAAGACCAGTAACTCCATATAATAGTGATGTTACTACACAGAACAAGATGATTTAATTTACGTACCAACCAGATTGCTTCATAGCCTCAAGAAGAAGTTGAGCATATGGATCTAGAAAAACATTGCTGCAATCAATTTCTCTAGACAAAAGTTTTGAAAGTCATCTATAATCAAAATATAAAGACAGTCAGGAAAAAAAAGAAAAGAAAAAAGGCAAACACATGCAGATTTGTACTTTGCACTATTTGACCCTAATGCAACTGGCACCTGTTACAGCTTAGGCTACGTAAGGTGATATAGAATCGTGATATATACAAAGCTATTCAGGAATCAAGTCACTTCTGATATTGTTTTACTAGTAGTAGACCAATCTTCTCAAATTTTCCAGAGAAAGAAGTAGAGAAGGACCTTCTGCTCAGAAAAAAAAAAACCACAGCCACTTTCGAAATAGTATTTTCT